GTCTTAACACTTATCGACTTATTCACACAGAAATCTATTGAATCACTAATATTGATTAATCAAGAACTTGATTTATTAAATAATATGAAAAAAATCCAAGAGCAAAAAAATTACAATGAATAACATTAGCGGAATCAGTGGTTGATCGATTTGTTTTTGATTTACCTCAACTTTTGCTTTAGTCTCTTTTTCCCGTTTGTATCTTGCTATTTTTTCTTCTCGTTTTTTAGCAGGATCTTTTTTAACTCCGCTAAACTGATCTTCGATATATTGTCTATCCTACCTTGGAGAGAAAAAATTTACTTTTTGAACATATTATTTCAAAAATAATGTGTAGTACTGACCATGTCTTTAAGAAATTTATGTACTTCCAAGTTTCTTAGAAATTGTTCAAGATGTGACTACAATAATAATAAATTATTATTATATATTGTCTGATACAATAAAATTATATTGTTGTGATTAATAATAACCTTTGCTATATTCAATATTTCAGATCTATTACCAATAGTAAGTTTGACGGTTAAATCTCCAATATATGCCTCTAACAAAAGAAATCTAAACATCATTCAAATATTAAATCCCTTTGGTGTTAATTAATTCTTCGCGCAAAATCATCACAAATTAATGTCAATGATAATGCTTACCTTAAATCACCAGTATTAATATCTTCAATTGTTTCATTAGAACTAAACAATTTTAATTGGTTGACCATCACTAAACATTTGCTAAAATGCGATATTGCATCTTTTATTTGATCCTAAAAAATGATTTATAAAATTTTAATAAGAAAAAAAAATAATCATCATTAAAACTAATAATATTATTGTTATTATTGAACAATTGTAAACCTGATAAGTAGTATCGGAAGAAGAAGGATTATTGTTTTCTATTTGATTAAATAATTCCTGTCCAATACGAAAATTTTCACTCAGCGTCATTTTTTTAAAAGTAGATTTTAGTGCTACCCGTTTTTGGGATCTGTAAAAATTTTGACATTGTCCTAAAATGGATAATACAATTTATATATGATAAAAATCATACAATAAATTTTTTTTTTCCTATTTAAAATTTTTTTTTAAAATTTTTCTTTAAACAATTCATTGTAACATGGCATTCCAAAGTATTGTTAATGGAGCAGAATGTTCTACTAGTTCTAATCCTATGACACAATTTATAAAGCAGTTTAATGAAGATCTTTCATTA